ATTAGCTAATGTCATATAATAGATAATATTAAAAGAGACATGCGGTAATAAATAATATGTTAAATGACAATAGTATCCTAGTAGGCTAAAGAATTATGCACTGATATAGGGTGTCCTTTGACTCTTTGAACTTAATATCATATGTTTAAAAAATAATAATAATAATAATATCATACACTAATATCCTATCCAACAAATGATACTAGTATTAGAATAATGAATCCACATTTTATCGAAATTTTAAAATAAGGGTCGGATAAAGTGTTTTATTAATTATTATTTATTACTAATACAAGTAATTATTCAATATACATCCCATGCCATAACCGAACCTAACATGCCCAAAAAGTCTTATATGGATTTTTCTAGAGCAAGCTCAAGTACACGAACAGGGATCGATCTCCATGAGCGGTGAACTACAATTCAAAGGAAAATAGAAGAACAGCCGATTCGTCAATGAGTGATGCGCGAGCGAGACTGTATATCACAATTTTATTCGAACATAAATCTTATTTTTGTTGTAAAGTTGGTCATATTTTTAATTATCATATTTATTTTATAACTTGTGATTTGAGAAAATGCGAGAGACTGAGAAAGAGTCAATAGCAATTTTTATTTGATAGTTCTACGGGATACAATAGGAATATAAGAAGATTTAGAACTTTCGTGAGTTTTATTACGATAGTAAAAATCTTTTTTTTGCTATTTTAACTCAAGTTTTAAACTAATAAGAATGCACTATGAATGTAATTTTATTTATTTTATAATTTTTATTACTTTTAAGTAATAATTATAAGTTTTTTAATTTAAAATTAATAGTTGTTATTGACAGGACAGGTAATTGAATTGAATTCGGACTTGACTTGGACTTAAACTCGGACAAGACTTAACTTAAGTTCGACTCGTATTCTAAACGAGCCGAATTTGAATAATTTTTTAAACTTATTTAAGACTCAAACTAACAAAACTTGACTCGTTTATATATAAAACAATCGAACTACTTGAGATCAGTTTAAGTTTGACTTAGGTTCAATTCATTTTCTAACAAAATTAAATTTTGATGGTGCAATTAACATGGATGAGCAATGGGTTGATATGATATTTGACAACCTAGGACTGAGCTTCTTGACTCGTGAGGATCCTAACAAAGGATTTTAGGGATTAGGAAGAATTAAACAATAAAAATATAATGGTTTACCAGCTTGAGAGTTCGGCTAATCCACTATTCAATGGAGATTCCTGTTCCTCTTGATTTAATAAATGTGGATGAAATTTACAACTTTTCTCTCAAGCAATTAGGGATTCTCTATTATTATTAAAGGCGCTACACAATATTTATAGAGTTGTTCCTTGTTTTGAGGGATCTGTGCCAAGATCTTAGCTTTTCACCCGTGGATTCTTCCTTGATTTTTGGAGAATATCTTGATTGGTTGAGGATTTTGTACCCTGAATATGATTTTTTGCCACCTGTAGTGTTCCTGTTAACGTTCAGTTGTTCTCTTGTAATCTCCGCCTATTGTTTTGTCTGGAGCGAGCTCTATCTCTAGTCTTTTGAACTCTGCATATCTTGTCTAACTTCTTTGTCTAACCTCCGCGCCTGAGCTCATATTTAAAAATTATTATAGGTATCATCAAATTTAAACAATTTTTTAAAGCCGTCTAAACAAAATGAACTCGTCCCACTCAATTCAAACTGGTAAAGTTTGGTCCCATTAAGAGCACATGCGGTACCAATTTCATAGCATAGCCCTGGCTTTCACCAGTTGAACCTTACTTCAGTTGAGCAGATCCAGCAGACGGAAAAAGTACAACACTCAGGTGAAATTACTCCTATGCCCTTACCATCACTATTGGTCCACCAAGTCAATCTCAACAACCTCAGAAGCAGTGCCTTTTCCACAAAAGCTGAGTTCTCTTTTAGTCCACCCAAAAATCACTCCCCTCTTTTATTTTTGGGTAAATCATATCAAGCACCTCTGAGGTTTGTCACTAATATAGACAGACCCCCTCAAGTGTAAAATATAACACCACCACCCCCTAAAGTTTGATGTGATGTAACAAATACCCCCCTGGTGTCAAAGTTCGTTCAAAGCACCGTTAAATCTCAATGAGTTCAACATATTCTTGTCACAAAATCTCTAAATTACCCCTGAAATATCAATCCTAAACCACTAAATATCTGCAAAACTCAAAATTTTTGAGTTCGCAGCAAAACCTCCACCACCCTGTGCCGCCACCACACCACCCATGACGCACACGAAACTTCACCCACCACTATCGTCTCTTACCGACACTTGCCCACAAATAACAACGAGCACAATCTTCGCCATGGAAGCACCACTTTACGCACCACCCACTACCACTATCACATGCATGAGAATCTACCACTCACCATCAGCAATCTACCTTTGTCGAAGCCAATTCCCTAAGACCATCTCAACCACACCCTTTAATCCCTCATCCACATATCTAATTTCTCTTCATGAGGTTCATCCATAGAAATGTTATTGAAGTTTTCTCTGTTCAGTTGGCTTGGTTGTGATTTTGTCTCTCCATCCAACAATTAACAGAATTGCGGCCCTTGAGTTTGGGGGTTATAGTGAGATGGAGGTTTGTTGGGGGGAGGGTCGTGGTGAAGAACGTAAGAGAGAGAAGAGGATTGCAATGGATAGGGCTTTATGTTTTAATTATACTCTTTTCTCTATTATAAACCCCACCACCTCCCCTTTAAGCCTACGTCCCACCGCCTGCCCAACCCACCGAAGTCCCAACTGCCAACTCCACCAACTGGAAAGTTCTGCCACTCTTTCTTTCTTTCTCTTTTCACACAAAAACACCACACACAAGCGGGACCAAGCGATAGAGAAGAGGATGTTTGGGCAGGCGGCGATGGTGATGTATTGATGGGTCTGGCTGGTCAGTGATATGGGTTTGACGGTGGCTGTTATGATGGTGGGTTTGATGGACGGTTTCGGTTTTGGTGGTTGTTATGGTGGGTTTGATGGACGGTTTTGGTGATATAGCTTTGATGGTGGTGGATTTGATGGTCGATTAGCGATAGAACACAGAGAGAGGGATGGTCGATGGTGGGTTTGATGGACAGCTTCAGTGATATGGGTTTGGTCGTGGCTGTTTATGGTGGTGGCTGTTAGCAATAGAACAGAGAGAGACATAGAGAGAGAATGGGTCGGTGGTGGGCAATGGAAAAGAGAGAAAGGGAGAGGTTCTGTGTCGGTGGAGGGGTCTGGCATTGGGTTTTTGATGTAGGCTGATTTTATTTATTTTGGATAAGAGCAAAATAGTCTTTTTAATACTTCCATTAGATGTGTTAGTTGACCATGACGGACAAGGGGTGTAATTATAATATGTCATACTTGAGGGGTCTATGTATTTTAGTGACAAAATTCAGGGAGTGTGAATGTAATTTATCCTTTATTTTATCCCGTCATCGTATTCTCAAAGCAGAAACAACCCTGCACAACTGACATATAGAGAGGGGGAGGGGGTCAACAGTTGCCGTAATATCAATTTAGCATTCTGACTATATATGGGTGGTTCAAATTTTTGATTGATCGTAATTTTTTATCTTATTCAATCGTACTCTATTGAACAATTAGTCACAAAAATTGGATAAGAATACATAAGAGTTTTTGATCTTTTGATTAAATCGGATAGAAATGCGAAATATCTATTAATTTTTGCAGAAAAAATATGCGAAACAAAATATTTTTCGATTTAAAAAATATGCCGGATTCATTTATCCCTAGTTTGATAAGTAAAAAAGTACATAGGAAATTCTACTCAAGTTTATTATTATCCGATTTAAAAAGTCAATTTTAACCTATTTATGTGAATTAAATGAAACCCACGTGGGTTGAGATATTTCTTCAAAAGATCATATGTGGGGATAAAATGACAATAGTGCCTAGTCGCCAATTCAATCCAACCCTGTCATTTAAACACACATTTATGTTTCGTTTATGGGATTAAACAATATATCATATCAATCCCATGTTTGATAAATGTTACAAATATATATGATACTCATGGATTAATTGTGATATTTGCTATGAAATTGTCTAAACTTACCCACTCACCGGATCCATTAGTTTATTGAAACTCTTATAAATGAGTTTTAAGTGCAAACCTATTACCGATATGACTTTTAAATCCCGTACTTAAAATTTACAACCAAACGGGTAATAAGTGATGCATTTGACTATTTTGATAAAAATCACTTTAATCAAACATGCCCTCATTGCCATTAGGCATAAATGAACCGACCTTTGGACGTGGCTCATAATTCTCTTGAATCCATTTACTAATGGAAAGGAAGTTATTATTGGTGGCTACAATTGATTACTCACAAACTGCAATGGTTGTCCAGAAAGTGTTTTGTGAAACTATATGATGCTTAATCAAAAGATGTCATGAAGAGAACAAATACAAAACACCATACGACTATTGTCGAATAATATAGTATCCAAAAATAATTTTAAATATTTTAGTATCATATTATTATACATAATTTTCAATGTATAGAGTCTGGGTGATCTAAAATTAATAATTATAGTTGAAAATGCAACAACATGATAAATATAACTGTTGAGGGTGGGGGGGGGGGGACCAATAACTTTAATTGTAAATCAATATGAAAAATATGGTAGTTTAAAAAAATAATATGAATAGTTTAGGGCATGAACGTGTAATTTTCACAGTTTGCATGTCCTCAGTAAAGTAAACGTGGGGTTTTACTTTCACAAAACCAAACCTCAGCTGATCCAGCAGACAGAAACAGTACATAAATGTTAAATTACTTTTATGCCCACACCATCACCACCTGGTCAAACATTAACAAACTCAGAGAACAGTGCCTTTTCCACAAAAGCTTAGTCCTCTTTAGTCCACCCAAAAATTTCTCCCCTCTTTTCTGTCATCCCATCATCTTCTTCTCAAACCCATATAGAGAGAGAGAGACAGAGAGGAGAGAGAAACAGATAATGGAACCTAACAACTCCCGAGGGGCAGAGGCCCAACTATGGCTCACCATCGCCGAGAAGCTACTGATCTCACGTGACTTCGTCGGAAGCAGAACGTTCGCGATCCGGGTCAAAGAGTCCGACCCGAACATCGAGTTCGCCGACCAAATCCTAGCTGTTGCAGACACGATAATCGCCGGCGAGAAGAGAATCAACAACCAACCTGACTGGTACGCGATTCTCCAACTGGGTCGACAGACCCATGACTCGGAACTCATCGTGAACCAGTACCGGCGACTCGTTCTTCTACTCAACCCACAAAGGAATCAGCTCGCCTTCGCAGAACATGCCTTTAGGCTTGTCATCGAAGCATGGTCAGTTTTATCAAACCCTTCGAAGAAATTTGTGTATGATAATGAGCTCAATCTTTATTTAAAGCTCACTACAAACCCTTTTGCGTCTGGGTGTTGGGCGAGTCGAGAACAAGAAACCCCCAATCATCAGCCACTACAGCAACAACCACCACCACAACAACCAGTGAGACAAAACCCTTTCAAGAACAGTATTAATTTTGATAATAGTGGTAATCGTAGTGAGAATAGTGTAAGAGAGGAGGGTTTTAGATCAATGCATTTTGTCCATGATTCTGGGTCTGGGCCTAGTCGAGAACCAGAAAATCAAAATCGTCAACCGCTAGAGCAGCAGCAGCAGCAACAACAACAGCAGCAGCAGCAGCAGCAAGTGAGAGAAAACCCTTTGAAGAGCATTTGTAATAGTAATAGTGGTGGTAACACTATCGAGAAGAATGTAAGAGAGGAGGGTTCGAGATCAATGCATTTTGCAAATGATAAAAGTTCGACTTTTTGGACTGCCTGTCCTTATTGTTACCATATGTATGAGTATCCTAAGGTTTATGCAGAGTGTACCCTTCTGTGTCAGAATTGTAAAAGGGCATTTCATGGTGTGGTGATTTCATCACCGCCACCGATTGTGGATGGGAAAGAAGCTTATTTTTGCTGTTGGGGGTTTTTCCCTGTGGGGATGTCAACGTCGAATTTGCAGAAAAATAAAGGGGGTTCGGGTTGGACGCCGTTTTCGCCCATGTATAATTTTCCTCAAGTAGGGGAGAATTATGGGGGCACCAAGAATGCGAATAAAAAAAATAACTCTGCTCCTAGGATTTACGTTGATGATGAAGATGTTTTTATTGAAGTATCGGATCCAAGTGAAGATTCTGATGATTTTGATTGGGGTAGCACTAAACGGAAGAAGAAGAAGAAAGTAAAGGGCATGAAAGCGAGGGGTAGGCCAGGTAGAAAACCTAAGAAACTGCAAATGGATAAGGGAAAGAATGTTGAGGGTGGGGGTGGTGAGAGTTCGCATCATGGGTATGTTATGGAAGAGGGTGCACCGGGGCCTAATGTGGTGATGTCAGAGTCAAGTAAGAAAGCAGCTGCGAGCAATACAAGAAAGCAACCTGCAAAAGTTGCCAAGGACTTGGGGAAATTGGATTTGAATGTAGAGTTCAGTAATGAGACTGAAGAGCCTGCCCCGGGAAGGCGTGCCCCGGGAATGCGTGAAGGAACTGGAACTGGAACTGGGGAGGAGGATAATATCGGAAATGGCTTTTTTGAGGGTCTTGATGAATTCCTGAGTAGTCTGCCGATACTCTCTGGTGTGAGTGATGATAAGGTTAAGGCTGCTTAGTGAAGTAAGACTCTTTTCATGTAGTTGTAGTTCCTTTCTTTGGTGTATCTATGTATGTCTGTAGTAATTAACGATGTGGAACAATTGGGCATTGTAATATTCCTTTAGTGGAATGATGTCTGAATTTGTTAAGTGGTTTTACTCTCTCCATGCTAGATTATTCTCCAGTGAAAGGAAAGCTAACTGATTGAGCTTCTGGTTTTGCTCCAGCTTTTGCTTTATCTGCTCCATGGTCTGTAATCTTGCTAGTCCTATTACCTTCCAAGTATGGAGTGCATGCAGCGGAAAGCAGAGTGGAGCAGAGTTGGCTGCCCAGCCTATGCCTATGGAAGTTGAATTCCAATTTTGTAAAACCTGGTTAAACTGAACCTTGAATTGTCTTTACGTAATTGTTCACATCGTCTTTCTTCAAAAGTCTCCATTTTTCATGCTAATTATTGCTTGCCATCTACTCTTTTATCATTCTTTTCTATGTTTCATTTTGCTTTAGCTGCCAAACATCCTGCCTGAAGGAGACTCTTATGTTGCTGGTGATTTTATTTTTTATTCTCTCTGGAAAATTGGCTTGTTTGATCAATCCCTTGTGGTTTCTTGAACTCATGATTCATTTCAGTTTCCCGTGAAAATGTGACATACTGAACTTGGCAACATGGCATTGATGGGCTTGTGTGGAAATGACTCTGGATCATGGCATTCTCCTGCTGATACTCATAGGGCTTCAGTAAAAGTTGTTCTATTCCAGACTATAGCTGAAACCTATGTCATGGACCAGAATAAGACAAAGACATGGAATCGAAAGAAATAGTATATATTTGTTTTAGAGCTGCTGCATGCATGTCCTCCACCACAGATAACAATGTCATGCACACTGTACCTCATCTGTACGCTTTCAATATCCCTGCAAACTGGCTTATCAACCTCGTGAAGAAAATTGAACTCTAATCCCACATTGGCCTAGCCTTGGTAAGTGATTGCCGTGGTGGGGAAGATCAAGCAAATCACAAGAATCACAAATTTAAGGAAAAATGTTTCCAGTCAATTCAATTTTCTTGCTTGGCTAATGAATCCTTTGTGGGGTTGTAAACTCACGCTCCAGGTCAATTTTTCATGGATTGTTTTTTGTTACTAAACCTGGAAACATGACCTGACAGGGCCTAAAATTCCTGCGCTTTGTAGTTGCTGATCGTGTTTTTTCTATCAAGTGTGCAAAAATCAGCTTCCTTGTTTGGTATGAAGTGTAGAATAAAATGTGTTTGTAATCATTCCAACCTGTTTGTTATGCTTCTTGTTGTTTAATTGTTAGTGCAATAGGATCTTTTATAGCAGCTGTCTTAACTGACACTTTCCTCATAAAATTTTAATGTTGGGATATTGAAAATCATGATATTCTTGTGGGCGGATATAATTGAATAAGGTGAAGCCCTTTGGATTATGCTCCGACATGCGTTTTCTGCCATGCATGAGGTCACACTGCATGGGGTTTGGACTTTGGATATGAACTCTGTCTATATGTAATTGTCTTTTGTTTGCCTTTTCTCTTTGGATTTTTATTCTAGTGTTTGCTTTCCCTCTATCACCCAAAGAGAAAAGGGCCAATTTAGTTCATGTTGTTTTTTGAGCAAAACTTTATTGTAGTTGCATTTGTCACTTTTATGGACAAATCAAGTCTATTTACCCTTCCTTCTTCTCGTCATCCTAAATTCCTGTTATCATCATTGTTCATATGAGTTGAAAATGGAGGAGTGCGAGACCTCAAATCCAATTATCTACTCAAAGCTGAATATAACAAAGAAACAAACCAGGAAAATAAATTGTGCTCTTCCTCTTTCCCCCCTGGGTGGGGGACCCTGTTGTCCTCCTCTCCTCTTCCTCTCTAGCTATATTTATGTAGGCGTGTACATTAGTACACGGAGTCACTTTTTATTTAACTTGTTGCCTGCTACATGGGGCCTATTTGAATTAGAAATGGGAGATGGCATTTTGTAGGTCCTCTTGGCTTGTCAATATGTATAGACAAAAGCACATATACCTTGCTATCCGGAGATTGTGTTACAGGAGGGCTTGAACATGTTTTTCACATCTGTTTTTACACTGACAAACTTCAGCTGCTAATCTGAAATTGTGTTTTTGTTGTCCTTTAAGGTTAATTAATTATTGCCCTACTATTGTATCCAGCCAGGTAGAGCATAAATGTTCTCTTTTAACCATGGAAAACCCCCTGATATATTTACTGATGCTGTGTCCAACCAGATAGTGCATAAATTTCTTGATGATTTCATTACGGTGAAATTTCATGCAGTCTGAGAATTTTGTTCTGATCAGATGGGCAAATGTCCAAAGGAGTTGGAACTAGTTTTCTCTAGAGCGAACTTGTCATCAACATTTATGTAACGAAATTAGATGACTGGTCGCTCTTGATGTTGTGTTTGATGTCTTTTAATGTTTTCTCGTTCAATTTTAAGGTGGTGCAACTCCTACTGTTGTTCATCTCTATAGTCAAGATTATATGCCTTACCTCTTTAGAAATTGTAGTCAAGATTTTTTTTTTCTGCTTAGAAATTTTGAGTTTTGTGTGATGTTTTTTTTTTTTTGGGCAAATGCTTCCTCTTTTCTCTCCAAAATTGCGGAGTGACTCCCTCTCTCACTTGCTTTAGAAGACGGGAGGTCACCACGTCTTTCTTGGTTTCGGCCCTAATCTGTTGGAGATACAAATGACTCTCTCCAAATTTGTTTTTTTTTTTTTTTTTTTTTTTTGGGGGGGGGGGGGTGTTCGCATTTCTTTTGGGGTTTGGAGTTGAACTACTTGCAGATCAATGCAATGCTACTCTATGCTGTGTTTCCCCAACCAAGATGCTTTGCAATAAGTTTGGTTTTCTAAGATTCCTGGTTTTACTTGGAACTTTGTTTGACTCCTTTCAAGGAAATCAATTCCTAAAATTGTGGTACTTTTTGGAACTTTTACTTCTACCGTGATAGTTGTTGATGTACTGTTGTTTATATGAAATCGTGTTTTAAAATCCACACTTTTCATACAAACAGGAGTTCATATTGAAAGTATTGGTTTAAACCACGCCTCTCTCTCTAATTATCTTCTTGTCGGATCAAATGAGACTCGATTTGTACAAGCGGGTCCCTTAATCATTAAAAAGTAGATGATTTGTGGATAAGAGAATTAAAAATATATATATATATTGGAGGAAATCTGGATGCATATTTAATATTGGCTGGCAGAGCTTGGAGGCATGTGTTCTGTATTCTTTGTTGTGGGCCAATGTTGACATTTGCTAGAATTCGGAGAAACCTGGTCCTAGGTTTCTTAATTAAGATCAATGGTCGGGAGAAGCCCGATGGCTCTCAACACTAATGGACAGCCCACTGCGTCACGTGGCTGGGCTGCATTGTTGTTTTTTTTTTTTTTTATATTATTGTCAAAATTTCTTTTTATTGTTCTATATTTATGTTCGCGCGCGATATCAGATATACTACTCTACTACCATTATGTTAAAAGTCTTTTCTTTCCTTCACTAGGATGGAAAATGAATAGTATATTCATAATCTTAGATGACCTGCAGCGCTTTATTTAATTGCTCCGTCATAAAAAAAAAAAAAAAGGAAGGAAAAATACATAAATAAATGATAACAAACTCATCAACTATATGGTCGATTAGGGGTGAGGATCCTCTGCTGTTAAAAAATCAATAACAAATGTATTGATTGAAACAACATCGTTTCGTTTGCACCAAAATGATGCAGTTTTAATCAACAGTAGAGGAGCTAGACCCGGTGGAACAGAGGGCAATGGCAAGAAATCCATGATTAGCAGGAAACAAGGCGCACACAGTAAACTATCATGTAAAGGTTGTGGATAGCAAACTGAAGTATGAAATCAGGGCCACTGAGGGGATGTTACAGAAGTTTGATTGTTCTGGTCTCAATCAAAAGAAATGTTAGCATGAATCCAGTGAATCCCACACGGTGGAGTCAATATTACTAAAACAATATCACGATTAGATAATACATATGCACGATATGCTTATAGCAAACAAGATTTAATAAACTACCACAAATGCCTGTGTTGGGTACGCTCTACATCTGTGATGCTTTGTTATTACATTTTTAATCTTAAACACGAGTTTTAAAATTAGATAACCAATCAAAACATTGCTTAATCAACACCATCACATTCCTGAATTAGCATGTTCATTTCGGGGCGGCATGACGTGATCTATTTTAATCTCATTATTTGGTCAATCTAACATTGTCCAAGTTGAAAAGGCAACAGACTAGCGAGCTAAGCCTTTTTGCCACACCACATCCTTCATCTATATAAACACATCAAGCAATGCATGCTCAATCCAATCTTAAGCACTTTGTTTGCATCTCTCCTTTTCATCTGCTCTACCAATTGCTCATTTCCACAACCAACCCTTTCTCTTTATACTTCTAGTTCTCATATTATCTTCAATGAACAAAGACAAAATCACGACAGAGGCGCGCCATCTTTTGGCGACAACAGTACCTGAGTTTCCAAAGCCAGAACTGCCACCACTGCCTAAAGTGGAACTGCCACCATTACCATATATACCAACTTTGCCAAAGCTGGAACTGCCGGAACCGCTGGAGCTTCCAAAAGCCGAACTGCCGGAGATGCCAATATTGCCCATTGTACCAACTTTGCCAAAGCTGGAAGTGCCGGAACTGCCACCTCTGCAGAAATTGCCTGACCTGCCTAAGCCCACATTGCCAACCATCCCTACACAGCCTAAGGACATACCCATTCCTTCATTCTCTGGACCTCACTCAACTACTGAGCTTTGAATACAAATAAAAAATAATTTTAGTGTACGAGGTTCCCGTTACGGTTGGACCTTGGGAGTGTTAGATATCCACTACTTTAGTTTGCATGCGGAGAGACTATGTTTTATTATATTATCATGGTAAAAGTGTAATTTGATTTATGCTTTTCGTTTATGGAGATTATACACTAACAGATTGGATTATATGTATAATGAGGTAACAGTTGATGTTGTTATCAGCTCACTTTGTTGTCAATCACCTCTTCATTTGTCAAACGAACCAAACAAGCGTTCATTTTCAAAATTTGTCTATGCAATAATTTTTTTGGCTTATGAATATTTATATTATAAGTATAACTGAGCAGAGTATTGTCTTGATCACGAATCTAAACTTGAGTTTAAGCTTGAATATAAGCTTGAGCACGACTTGTTGAATCAGATGAAAGAAGTCAAGCTAAGGTAGAGTTTGAAGAAGAAAAAATCAATGAGCCGAGCAAGATGTTTAAAGCTCGTCATGATTTTGATCCGATCTCGGATACACTCACCAAACGAACATATCGAGTCTGAATAATATGATATGCTCAGCTTGTTTCAGTTCATTTACAACCCATCCACAATTGCTAATTCAATCCAATTCTTTCTCTTTTTTTTTTCTTTTGTTCTAGTTGTGCAATTTGAGCCACGTTACTGCAATGCAAGAATAAGACAAGAAAGTATTGTAAAACCCCGACCCATTTCAACACCCATGTAAATCCAAAAACTTTAAAATGAAAATTCTTGCTCAAAGTTTCTCTATATCGTTCTAATTTTATCGGATGTTACCAAAGTTTATTCATTATTTGGATATTATATCCTTTAGTATTATGAAGGCTGTTAACACTCCGAATATAATTATGGAAATGAATCAGAGTTTTACAAAATTCAACAGTCATCAACAACCAAATAGGTATATTTTGTTACCTAAAGATTCTGATAATGACGAAAAATAAATTTGTGGCTAAAATAAACTTTCTGCGAGAAAATATATTTGTCACTAAAGTATGACTTTCTTTAATAAATAAATCACTTCCATATATTATGACTAATGATAAAAGGTGATATTAGCTAGAATTATTTTATATTTCCAAAAAATCTATACTGCTAACAAAAGTACCTTAAGATGAAAAATTTTTGAATCTATATTTTACTCTTATAAAAAAATGCAAATATCGCTCCATCTTTTTACAATTAAGTAATTTAGATACCATCATATTCTTATGTATTTAAATATCTAAATTATCTATAACATATCTTTTAATTATCTATTCTCTTTGTATAAATATCAGTTTGTATAAAACTTTTGATTGACTATATTATTTTTAAAAAATATATTGCATTATTACATTTTTAATAAAGTGTTCAAAAAATCTTGAAAAACTCCATCAATTTATTATTACTCATCTCATATACAAAATTAAAATTATATCTACATATATGTATTTTCGTTTAAACCAAAAAATTAACTGTTTTATTTCTACGATAAA